TTTTTAAAGCATTCTCATTAAATTCAAAGCAATCATTTTAATACTTTACACGAAATCCATTTTTTGGCTATTTTTGTGACAGTTTTTCAATATTATTTTCATTAATTTTTGTGCCATTTTATTTTAATGGCATTTACTGTCGCAATTTTGGCTCGCACTTTAACTTGAAAAACACTTTAATAAAGTAATTAAAGTGTATTACCGTGTCTGGCAATAAGATGAAGGTCTTTCATAATGACAAAAACATGAAAGTCTTTGAAATCAAAAATCAAAACACCTTGAGATAAACTTATGACAAAAGTCATCTTTGTATATTTATCATATTCTCAACCAATCTACCTCAGTCAATAGGTAAATATGCAAGCTTGAACAAAGAAATCAAATTTTCTGACGCTGAACATTGACGAGCTCAAGTAAACGAATCTAATAATAGTACTTTTAATAGGTAAACAAAATCAGACTTTGAAGCAAGAGAGAAAAATTACCATTATGGATGTGGATGAGGCTAAGGTCAGGCTGGATGATGACCCACACCGTCGGCACCACCTACACTCTTTATCGAAAAGATCATTATTTCCCTGGAATACACTCTTCCTATCTAGAAATTACGGTGACGAATATTACGTCTTCAGTCATCCGATAATGTTATTGTTAAATGTAAGGAAAGTTAGCAGCCGATTCGAGTATTTTCCACGACGATTCGCCTGAGTAACTAAGCCACAAAAGAAAACTAGTAAGCCACCTAGAACTCGACGAGCTCTATCTAATGGTGTCATCAGATCCTACGAAACTCCCACCTGAACGCCAAAAAACCCAAAAACATCAAAAACACCCATAGGAAAAAATACGCAAAAACTACCATATTTCGTAAAAACNCAAAAAAAAGCAGTGCGTCATTACTTTATTCAATCAAGTTTTCTAGTAATTTCAAAACTGCAAAGTAATTACTAATATTACTAACGTTTCAGAGTTTATGATTCTTTTTCATATAAAAGTAAATCGATATTTATGTTGAGTCACAATAGTAATTTCAATGCATACTGATATATCCTAGTAATACCCGGGAAATTATTAGAATAATCAATATTTGAAGGATAGGTACTTGCTCTGCATTACATATTCACTGAAATTTTTCTAGCAGTTTCTCAATAATTATTGAAATTTAGTTTATGCTTTCTTTTGCGGATTGATCGTTCTCGAAATCATGAATTCGGGAATTTTTCTAGAAATTTTCTTGTGATGTAGCGATAGATGCAGAAATTTATTACTACTTTCTTGATACGTTAGGAAATATATTTTGAGTTTTAAGTATTTTTCAGAACACGGTTTTGATTGTTTTAACGAAAATTATGGTAACTTCTTAACTTTTTTACTGATGTGGAAGCAATTTCTTAAATTCTATTTTTTCATGAGAGAAATTTACTTTTTTGAAAATCTGAATACTACCGCTTAGGATAGGAACTAACATAATATCTACTACTATTTTCATTAATGCCTAGTTTCAACTATCATTCTTTTCTGGTGTATGTGATAGAAAAATATGCGTTTTTTTTTTAAATATCACGTATACATGATAGAGCCCTAGAATCTGTACTTCAAGACCCCTACTTCATCGGAGTCACATCACTAAAACAGTCAAACATTTTTACTCGATTTACCCTACTAATGTCTAAATATATGTTTACATGATGGTTCTGATGTTTGAAATTACTCTCGTGAAGAATAAAATCATAAACAATCGATTAGTGAAACGAAACCTATCAGACAATCGAAAAGGTATAGTGAGGGTATGTTCTCTTCCCTTTCACCTACTTACATCCAAATAAACATATTAAATTCTTTATCATTAACTGAATAATAATTTGTAATAGCACAAAAATAAGTATATATAGCATTGAAAATGTTTTACTTCACAGGGTTCTAATGCTTGTTATTTTAACACAAACAAACTGAGATTATAAACTTTGTTTTTAGGAAAATATGTAATTCATTTAAAATTTACATGATACAAAATATGTCCGTGTCAATAGTGAATATATTTCAGAAAACATTATACGGGTGAGAAAATTCCTAAAAATTGATCCTGGATATTAGAAATTTTCAAAAACTTAGTATTTATTTTAATATTCTGGCAACGACAGCTTAACCGTACTATTCTTTGGATTTCTAAAAACCGTAGGTTGCTAACTGTTGCCATTACCGAGTTATTCAACTTACACTCACAACCATAAGAACATATTAATTTCAAGTTTCTATATCAATTTTAATTCATTCTGATAAACTTTTTAGATAAAAATTCAACGAAAAAATATCCCGTTTAACAAGTTGCAGAAGCAACTTTTGTTTCTTTCTAGTAACGATAATTAATATAAATAATTGTTTAATGTTCTCTATTGATTTCTTAATTCAGGTGGACATAATGAACAATATCCTACAATTTATTTGAATGCTATTAATCGTATTGCACTTGGTGAACCCATGGATATAATCGTTAAGTTATGGATATGTGCTTCAATCATCAGTTTTAAGCGCTTGGGAAGGTGATAAAGCTAATGATGAACAAGCACTAAGAGAACTTATTCGTTTAGCTAAAGTAAAAAACACCTTCATATGAAAGAAAACAATATTGCATTTTATTTTATTTTTAGCAAAATAGTCTTGCTTCGTTGGGAAAATATGAAGCAGCCATGTTAACGGTGATTCACACTCTGTCTGTCTGTCTCGATTCTCTTTCTCTCTTGCTTTTTCTTTCTACTGTATTGTTATTGTCATTTCTCGTTCTTTCTCTCTTGTTCTTCTTTTTCTGTCTATGGATATACATATATACCTAATGACTTAAGGACATTTTTGAAGAGATTTAACATCTGAAATAAATAAAATAAGTTAATCCTGTCGAAGTGAGTTAACAATCCGTTTAAAACAAATTTTTTTTTATGAAATTTTTTTACACATTCAAAATTTGTAATAAGAAAATATGTCGATTGAATTGGTTTTGATTATTTTTTAGATTATGTTTCGTCATAATTCATCATCATCAATGAAATATATATTAGTTACTGGTGGTGTTATTAGTGGAATTGGAAAAGGTATTATATCATCAAGTATTGGTACAATACTTCGTTCTCATGGATTTCGTGTAACATCAATTAAAGTATATTGAAAATGATAAACTTACAAAAATATAAATTCATTTATTTTATTTAGATTGATCCATATATAAATATTGATGCAGGCACTTTTTCACCATATGAACATGGAGAAGTCTTTGTACTTGATGATGGCGGGTAATTTGATTCTTAATTGGGTGGGATTTTTATTTTCTAAATTCATTTTTGATAAGATTGAATAGCATCTTACAAAAATGCAAAGTGATTTTCGTTTAATCCAAATAAAGAAGTATATTAAACAGATATATTTAACAATGAATAAATGAGTTTTTTGGATAATTGGATCGAATACGGTAGTGAAATAGAGCTCATTGGACATAAAAGTTTCGTACTCGGATCCGTTCGAATTGTACTTTGACACTCTCAATCAAATTTTCTAATCGGAAGTTGATAGTCGTTCCGAATCTCATGAATTCTAAACTCGATTGAAGATTTGCTAACTGCTAGTTATTTTTCACTGAATTGAATTATAGAAAATCGATAATTACATGTAAACTATATACATAGAATTGAGATGTTTTAGAATGTTAAATATGTACATAATATTTTATTGTAGAATATCTTTCAAAAAGAACGGTAAGATAACATTTGCTCAATGTGTGTCAAGCTTTAAAAGTTTTCAATTTGCTTTTATATGCACTAGAAAATGTTCTTTTAATTAATTGATTTTCTTGAAAATGAATTTGTTAAGAATAAATAAAACAAATTACTCGATGTAAAAAAAAAAACAAAGATTTCTTTTTTCTTTCGTTTCTAGTGAAGTTGACTTAGATTTGGGTAATTATGAAAGATTTCTTGATGTAACTTTACATCGTGATAATAATATAACAACGGGTAAAATTTATCAATATGTTATTGATAAAGAACGTCGTGGTGATTATCTTGGAAAAACTGTGCAAGGTTAGTTAGACAAATTACATCGAACATTAACATATTTATTGATTATTTCTCTAGTTGTACCACATATAACTGATGCAATACAAGAATGGGTTGAACGAGTTGCACGTATATCTGTTGATGAAGATCAAGCTGAACCAGATATATGTATAATTGAAGTAAGATTGAGAAGAAAACTAGCATATGAACATTTTTTTTTTGGTTTGTTTTAGCTTGGTGGTACAATTGGTGATATTGAAAGTATGTCATTTGTTGAAGCATTTCGACAATTTCAATTTCGTGTAAAGAAAGAAAATTTTTGTTTGGTTCATGTCAGTCTTGTTCCACAGGTTTGTATTGAATAGATTATTTTTTATTTTTTTTTTATAGGTTCTTTCTTTTATTCCTCTATAGCCGAACTCTACTAATGAACATAAAACTAAACCAACACAACATAGTGTAAAAGAACTTCGTGGTTACGGTTTAACTCCTGATCTTGTTAGTAGATAGTGTTTTTTTTTCTAATTTTAAAATAGTATTGATATTTTTTTTTTCTAGATTATCTGTCGATCTGCTACACTAATGCCATTATTAGCAAGAGAAAAAGTTTCAATGTTTTGTCAAGTTGATAAAGAACATGTAAATAAATAAATAATAATTTTGTTCTCTTATTGCTATTAAATTATTATTTTTACTCTATTCAAGGTTATTTGTATACCTGATGTAAAAACTCTATTTCGTGTTCCATTATTAATGGAAGAAAATGGTGTGTTTAATTTTTTATCAACACGTCTTCATTTAATGCCAAAATCAAATTATGATCGATCACTTATGATAAAATGGCGTGATTTAGCTGAACGGTAAATAATATTCAATCAAAAAAAAAGAAATAAACAAAAGAAAAACATACACAGAATAAATAAAAAAAGACTAAAATTTAAGTCATACTAATACTAATCAACCTGTTGAATTTGTAGCATTAGTTGGATTTATAATAGTACTTGTATTGTAAGTATTAGTTAAATTTCCGTTATTGATAAGACCAGCTGCACCAATACCAAGACCTAATCCCAATGCCATACCAATCAGAACGGTAGCGGCAAGAACACTAACGACTATCAGTAATGTTTTACCACCGGAAGAGGTTTGTTTTGAGATTTGAGAAATTGGTGAGGGAATAATTGGACTAATTTGAGAATAACCGAAAGGAGTATTGATATTTGAACTATACATTATCTATTGGAATATGATCTAACACTCGAGAAGTAGCAACAAAATGAAAAATAACAACCTTGTAACGTAATTACTATAACTAAAAGAACAAAATAAAACTACATCTTGTTACTCTATGAGGCGTGACAACGGTATTCAAGAACAGCAAAAAATATTATTAACAGAGTAGTCGTGATATCATAGAGTAGGCGAAACACGGCAGCCAATTTTTGTTTCCTTTCTTTTCTTTTTGACTCAACACATCAGTGTCTGAAACCACCAACCTAAAAATTATACTTCGTGGTATTTTTCTTTTAAAATGTGAATCACTATTCTGTCTGCGTGATAAATAAACAACAAAAAAACATCCTGTTAAAAGTTATGTTTGTTTCCATTTCAACAAATCATTGAAATTTTTTATGAATTATATTACAAGATAAAAAATTAAAAATTCAATAAAATGAACTATTTTACTATAATATATTGTTTATTGACTCATTTAATGTAATTTTCGACGCTGATTTCCAGTATGTCATTTGCTTTACTTTAAATTCGCATCATGACCATGAAAACTGCTTAAAATGTTGTTCTTTTCTATAGTAGTGTCCTGCAATCAGCTCGATCCAGAGCATGAATTCGGGTAGTCGAGATGAAAAAATGTCGATCCGATTTCTGAGTATGATCTTATACCCAGATTCGGTTCGATAATTAATGGAGTCTCGACGTTTCAAAATATTTTTTTTTCAAACTGCTAATTTATATTAAAGCATAGGAATGAAAACCGATTCGATCATGACTGAACAATTTATTGTACTTGAGAACAAATCATAGAAGTAGAAAGCAATGTTGTTTTATACTAAAAGAATTTAGTCCTAATGAAAATTCATCGACAGATGACGATGCAAACAAGTATACTTAGCGAAATTGATCGAATTTTAGAAGCAAAATGACACTAAGTGAATCCTGATTCACTTGCTTTTTGTGGTATTGGCGGTGATCTCGTTTATTCTTTTGTATAGAAAAATGATGAAAAACTATTAAATGGGAGAGAGATGTACGTCCGGTTTCGCTACGAAGTGCTTATGTAGTATTCAACACTTTAAATATATTATAGGGTTTAAGACATTAATGCATTGAATACATAAAAGAAAATTTATTATTAAGAGTTTCGAATATATGTAAGATACTTGATAGTCTCATAATTCTTTTCTTAAGCATCTTATATTTTTCTATATAAAACTATTTATTATGTAAGAATATGTTCTTGTTTTCTTTTTCATTTACAGAATGGAACGACAACTTGATGAAGTTTCTATAGCTCTTGTTGGAAAATATACAGCTTTAGAAGATGCTTATGCATCTGTAACTAAAGCACTCAATCATGCTGCACTTTTCTGTAATAGAAAATTAAAAGTGCTTGTAAGACATTGATATTATTTTTTTTCTAATTTTTCGTCTTCATATTTATAAGTTTTATTTAGTTTATTCATGCTACTGATTTAGAAGCAAATACACAAAAAGATGATCCAGTTAAATATCATGAAGCATGGCAACAATTGTGTAGTGCACAGTAAATAAACTATTAACGTTTTGGATTCATTTTTTATTTGATTTTTTGTTTTTCGTTCAGCGGTGTTCTTGTGCCTGGTGGATTTGGTTCACGTGGTATTGAAGGTAAAATAGCGGCTATTGAATGGGCACGTACACAATCAAAGCCATTTCTTGGTATTTGTCTTGGTCTTCAATGTGCTGTTATTGAATTTGCAAGACATGTTTTACACTATAAAGATGCAAATTCATCAGAATTCGATAAATGTGAACATCAAGTGGTATATTTCATTTCTATTCACAGTGATTTTTTTTTGTTCATTATATTTATCTTTATGAAATAGGTTGTTGAAATGCCTGAACATAATCCAGGAGTTATGGGGGGTAACTAAAATTTATTTCTTTTATCGAAGAAAAAATATTCAAGTATTTGATATTATAGGAACAATGCGATTAGGTCGACGAACAACTAATTTTGTTACTGATGATAGTGTTGTTAGTACGTATCGTTTTTCTATTTTCTAATCATGTTGAAGAAGTATTCCGACTTCTAAAAGACAATTCATAAGCAAGAAATTTTTCTAAAAAGAAATTAGTTGAAGCTTTCTAATCGTAGAACATCCTAGCTGAACATGTAGAAATTTGTATAAGAGATAAGATCAGTTCATATTCATGAGGTCAAAATACTTACTCAATGTTAGTCGGAAGCTTTCAAGTGATTACAGAAGACTAAACGTTTGAATAAAGCTAAACAAAAAAAACACTAACCTACATATATATCATCGCGATACTGAGTAATTTTACAAAATGATCAACTTAACTAATTGAAAAATCTATGCATAAAGAGAAAAAAAATCGTGAAGGTTTAAAACAAGCAATGGCATTTCATTGGATGAAATAAAGTTTAGTTTTTTAAGATGTAATAGACAATATGGTTTTATTAGTGTAGTTATGCATTTAGGAGCTCTGAGCCCATTATAAAAGATAAATTTTTTAATCTTACAGATTTGTTATGTTTTTCTTCTCTTGTGAGCCCCCTTCATCAGCTATTAATAGCACGTTTTTGGGTTCCACTAAGTGCATCATGCAGACCAAAATGAATTGTGAATAGCTTGAAAAGAGTTCGGATCCATAGCTTGTTGCATAGAGATAAGTCTTAACAAGAATAGTTTATTGTGACAGTTTCAAGTCTTTTGATATACTACTACCCTGAAATAAGAACATCGAATTTATCATTATATATGTGTGATGTAAAAAGTATATTTTTACCATAATCGTATCTTAAGATCAGAACAACGACAGGATCTGAAACATTCACAAGAACCTATTCTCTTAGAGGGCTGCTTCTAAGCAAAGTTTCAAGTTGACAATTCGAAAATCAGTTTTTCTATTACTACAGCATTTATCTAGAAACTATCGTGAAAGTGTAGTACCTTCGTAGCAATAAGATAATGACCTGAACTGTTTTCAGGGTATTCATAGTTCATTCGGATCTACACAACGTGTGTAGTCTTGACTCGAAAGCGATTTATGAGTTAGTAGATTTCATTTGTTAGTAATAACTGTGTCTTTTATTGATTCATCATAGAACAATTATTTTCAATTTTCTAGAAAAACTTTATGGAAATAAGGATTCTGTTGATGAACGTCATCGCCATCGTTATGAAGTTAATCCAATATATATTGATGCATTTGAAAAAGCTGGAATGAAATTTGTTGGTAGAAGTGATGATAATGAACGTATGGAGATTCTGGAACTTGAAAGTAAATTAAAAATTATTTAAAATCAAATAATAGTTTACGCTTATTTTTCAGATCATCCATATTTTGTCGGTGTACAATATCATCCAGAATATATATCACGCCCATTAAAACCATCTGCTCCTTACTTAGGACTTATTTGGGTAAATAATTTATTTATATTTGAATTCTATTTGATTATTTTTCTTCTATTTAGGCTGCTTGTGGTGAATTGAAAAATGTGTTAACACTTGTTACAAAACAACAATCACCAACAGATATTGCAACTAAATCTTCTAGTCCTTTTTCTCATGTTAATCTATTTCGTCATACATGAATCCATATTCATTGTTTTACCTCTATTGTTAAGGATAATCTTTATTGATGTTTCAATGTCTAAATTTCATGAAAGAAAATAAATCGTTTTTCTTGATAAGCATCTGTGTTAAAAAAATGAATATGAAATTTAATTTATTCAAAAATCATAAATTGCATTGTAGTCTATGGAATAATTGTATTTATCATGTACAAATTTTGTTAGTCAAAGAAGAGAATTTGAATTCTTTGTTGAAGTTTGATTCTGATCGTAATAGATGAGAGAATCAAAAAAGAGAAAATATTTGATTAGTTGAAACAATTTCCGATCAGAAGAAGTACTTGTCAAATTCTCATTAACAAATATGGCTGAACGATCTTTGCAATGTAAAGACACTTCAAACACCAGGCCTTTTGATTCTCTTAAAACATTTTTGAAACAAGTTCGTCTAACAGAGAAAACATTTATGAATTAAACAAGATGATCCTAAGCTCTGAACGACTAGAGATGTTCAGGGTACGCTTTTTGAGTACCCTGACTAAGAAATCTTTTCTTGCCTTTATTATCCTACCCTATCTCGAGAGAACACATCGAGATGCTTATCGTCACTGGAATCGTCAACGGTGATAGCCTGTGGAGTAGAGCTCGAGTCAGTAGAATATCTCATAGATACTAGAAACATTTTATTCCTATCACCCAAAAATACAGCGACACCATTAACATTTCATCATGCTATAACAACATCAAGCCACTCATCTTTGTTGAAATCACTAATGGCAACCGTATGAGGAAGAGAATCAAAGCCAGTTGAAAGCATTATCTGATTGGCAAAAGTTCGGCTACCGTATTCCAGCAGTATGTCTACACTATTCGTACCATTATTGGCAACGGCAATATCTAATCGTTTGTTGTTGTTGAAGTCATGAACTGAGAGCGACAGTGGATGAGAAGAGGCAGTTGAAAATATATTCTCGGTCGCGAAAGTTCCGTCATTATAGCCAAGGAAAATACTGATATTATTGTGATCATGATTAGCAATAACAACATCCAACTCATTATCACTGTTAAAATCATCGACTGCAATTGAGTACGTAGAGAAGATGCTGTTGATGTCATCGGTTTCTTAGGGAATGCTCTATTTCCGCCGTATCCCAAAAAAATATTTATATTGTTATTGTCACACTCGCTGACAATAATATCTAACTGATTGTCACTATTGAAATCACCTAATACAATTGGCAACTTACGACCTTCATTACCCATCCAGTCTTTAGTGAAAGATACGAATGGAAAGGAGCACATTGTTGCTAAAACGAAATATATAATAGGTGGGATAGTTTGGATACAATGTTTTTTCGATTCATAGTAGAGATTATTCGAAAAACATTTAATCATTGAGAGCATTGAAGAATCAAATTGATATCGTCTCAGTATGTGACAAACAGAAATGGATCACTTACGTGCTATCTTTAGATGAACAAAAATTGTTTGATACTTAGGTGAAACAATATTTTTATGGATGTTTGATAGAATTCCAAGATATTTCTGCTACTAATTAAGCATTTCAAAGCAACATCGATCAAATATTAAGTAGAAAAGATTGAGAAGCCCAATCAGCAGCGAAAGTGCATCAAACAAGAATACACTTAGATCTAGGATGTAGGTTTGGTTTATGTAAGTATATGTTGGCAACTGTGATAGTGTTGCTACAGAGAAGAGAAACATTCATGCGATCACAGTCAAATCCACACTCGTACTCTAGAACTATATTGAAGACGCTCAATTGCAGGATAAATCACCTGATGTCAGGTTTAATAATACCGTTAAGATCTGACGAGGATCGCCCTTTTTTATTGTCGAGACATGTGAACGATTGTTCAATAGAAATTTGCTTGTTATTTATTCAATTTGTGAAGGTAGTCGACCACTAACCAGTTATTAGTAAGAAAGAAGTATTATCTTATCACATTAATGGAATGTGTTATTATTTCAAATAGGAGAAAGGAACAGAATTCAGTAGAGGACACAAGAGAGAAACGAAACGAGTGTATCTGCGGAATCATATAGTCCAACATCTCGAGCTTACTAAACTATCTCGAGTAATATTTATTATAGTTATTCTTTTATTCTTCTCTGAGACTTTATTTGAATGGAGGTCGACTTCAATATAGTGTGTAAGTTAGTAAGAGTCACTCACTTCATATCATTAATGGTATAATAAGGAGGATCTAAGTCAGGGCTGCCAAATCCAAATGCAAAAAAAACAGTAGTTGACCAGGAAATTTTACCGAAAACCTAGGAGGGAACACCAGTAGATCTTTATGGAACTGAAGTAACTATTTAACTGACTTGTTTCGAAAGAAACTTAAGTTTTCGTGCAGATAACTATCTGTTTCTTTCTACTGTTAAGTTACTGATGCCAAGACTATCTGTAACAGACCAACCGAACATGCAGATTGTTGCATGTCCTCAATTGAAATGACTGTGATGCCCTTTGCTATCTGTTACTTTTATGTACTTTCATCTCGTTCTTCTCCTATGTGTACTTTGAAAGTGCACTATTACTTTGTCCTTCTCTTGTACATAGCGCTATCCGTAATCGCAATGTCCTTTTCCGTTCGGTATGTTTATCTTGTTCTTCCCTTATATGTACTTTGAAATGGCATTCTTAGTGTATCGCTCTCTCGCACATGGCGTCGTCCATAATTGTAACGTAACCTTTGGATTTGTCCTTACACAGCACATTTTTCTGTTATTGTATTTACTATATTGTCCAAGGTCGTCATATGCTATAAAAATAGTATATAAGGAACGTGAAAAATACAGTATAGGTACAATTCTTAATATACTAATAAAGTATACGTATAATAGCTCTTAAGTACTGTCTATTATATCAGAAATCGTCACACTATCCTCTAAGTGATACATAACGAAGAGAAAGAAAGATAATTTATGCATTTTTCCAAAAATGAATAAGCTAACGAATTCGATAACCATTCTTTTTTTTATGTTCACAAATAAATTTTAGTTACTTTCATGTATGATCATGAAGCAATTTTCAATCTGAATTTTTTCCAGTGAAACAGAATCAGTATTTTTACCTGATTTGGTAAATTTTATGATATAACACTTTCTCCAATAAATCTCAGACTTCAGTGTTATCATCTTCTGGCAACGTATGTATTCGATAAATATACAGTCGGTTCTTTCTTTTTATTCACAGTTACACAAGTCTTAGCCATAGGATTTGTTCATGAAATTGGTCATCTTAATTTGGTAGAACTCAAACAGAAACAACGTGTTTTTTATCGGTCGTTGTATCTATAAAATAGTGTGATAGTTGTTTTTTTTCTTTTATTGAATTCAGTAAGTCACGAAAACTCAAAGTAATGAAACCCTTAAAAACCAGGAGAGGGTCTAAAAACCCAGCTCCTGGTTCCAGAAACTTTTTTCACCAGAGGTCTTCTGGCTGAATCAGGCAATTTGATTTGACAGCCATGATGTCATCCCTATTTCTAACTATTGATTAACTCTTTGAGTACTGGATTAGTTTTAAAAGCTAAAAATTTTTACAATTTCAAATCAACGTTTATCTTTTTCAAGATTTGGCAAAATACATGATCAAGAATGCTTTTAGAGTATGATAGTCTTTAAAGCAATCTGTTACACACAAGCCTACATCACATTCAATATATTCATATAAAGTATCTCTTCTTGGCTTGGCTCTCATCACAGTATGAGCACAAACGTAACACTTTCTTTTCCGTTTCACTTGAGTGACTGTTGACTCAATGCGCGAAGGAAAATGTCGTTCAGTGAGTCGGAATGAACTTTCAGAAGATGATCGACCAATTAAGGTTCGCACCTGGCTACCATATTTTTCGACAATCTCTCCGATTACCTCAAGTTGATAAGTAGCCAAACGAGGATTGACATTTTTTTTTTAGTTTATGTAAAACATATGCATTATAAATTGTAAGATCCACCAAATGAAGGAAGAACTTTTTGTACCACTTTACTGATCGACGAATGCACTTTGAAAAGCTTATTTGCATGTCATATTTATCAACCAAACCTCTGTTCTCGTTATATTCTTTCACAAAAAAAAGTTTTATCTTCTGCTGTTTCGTTACAAAGTCGACTTTTTCTGTTGGGACCATAATTGGTTCATGAAGTGTCGATAACATTGTGACATCACGTTTATCATTCCATTGTCATGCAAGTAAATTATCAGTGTGATAAAAAACTTGCTCGTCAGGTTCCTCTATCTATTCAAAGATCGGTAAACCAGCTCGATTCTTCTTAACAGTTCCGCATGCTCTTGTCTTATATTGATGGAGATAATCAAATAAAGCAGGACTGAAATAGTAATTATCTACAAATAACGAATGACGTTTGTTCAAGAAGTGTTCTAATAAGGTTGTAACTATAGATCCAGTTACGCCAAGGTGTTTCTGATAATTGAGTTCTGTTTTAGAACCATAATAAACTATGGAATTCATTTTAAAATCTGTTTTCCAGTCACAAAGTATGAATATTTTAATTTCAAATTTATGACGTTTTGATGGTATGTCGTCTTTGAAATGAAAATAGTTCTTTCATAGAGTTAAAGTTTCATCAATGTAAAAGTTTTTAAACGAGCTCAAATAGCAGAAAACCGTATTTTTTAATTCATCAATAATTGGTCGCACTTTGTAAAGACTATCTCCAGATATTTGGTTTTGGTTATCATGGAAATGAAAGTTATTAGTAAGTAAAGCACTGAATCGATCTCTGGTGAAAAGTTCAGCAAATATAGGTGTTGTGATGAGATGATCCGTAGACCAATAATCACAAATACGGTTTTTTTTTGAATGAAGCATCAATATAACTTAGCTAAAAATGTATACATTTTGCTGGTTGGTGTATCGATCCACGGAACTGCATGATTCAGGTCTATGCGTGCAGAATTTCCATGAAATCGATTTGTTTCTTCAACAATTATTTCAAGTAGTTTTGAATCGAAAAATAGTTCGAAGAAATCAAGTGGCTTTTCGAGAGTAAAATCTTTTATGGTTGAAGATAATCCACAACCATTTGAATCAAAACTAAACAGACGAGGATTGAAACTTTCTTTTCTCCAATTTCTCGGTGTAGCAGATATTTTTTCAAACATAGCTGTGAATTTCTCTTCCAAATCACTGTTATCTTCATTTTCGTCATATGAATAGTCTTTAGACTCAGTGCTAGATTCTGAATCTATTATATGTTCGGTAATTTCTCTGTTAGATTTCTGGTGAACACAACCTTGCTTCGTAAATACTAGATGTCAGAGAAATACAGACTATGTCGAGATAAATTACGTCTTCGGTTTCAATAATAAGAATAAAATAGCTGTATATATATACCAGTTACACAGAGGACAAAATTTACTAGAACGTTTCTTAAAGAAAATACAACAGTAAACAAAAGAGATAAACCATGACGTCATTCTACAACAGCGTAAAGATAAAGAAAAAAGAACACATAAGTTGGAGATAAATGCCCTTTGTGACCTTTTATGTGGAAAAATGCACTCTATATTATTCATTAAATGCGATCGTTCGATCAGAATATTTCTTACAGATATGTCAGTGCTTGAACGATTTTTACAACATGTGATATCTTTTTGAGAACGACGGTTCTTTCTCGAGACATGCTACCAAACCGACCCATGTACTAAATCATTAAATAATATACTGATTGCCTGAACTATTAAGGGACTACCAATAATCATCAATAATTATAGAAAATCTTAACCGCAGAAATATCCTAAATACAAATATTCATGCAATTCATATCATTAAATAACCAAAAGATCATATTTTTTAGACGAATTCAGAGCGCAAAGTCCTAGAACGAATATGTTCGTCGCCCATACCCAATGGGTTAAGGAAAACAGTACAAGTTTCTCTTTAATTAGAAAAACTGAAGGACAAAATATTTAAATATTTCTGACTATATATGTCAAGACTAGATAGTCTGATACTGATGTATAATTATCTTGCCTATATTACGAGTAATCCATTCCCACAAGCCAAAAACAGGTTCATTGATAAAAACAATTTATCAACATAATCTATATCTTGTCTTTAACAGAAGAAATAGAATGTATATAAAAGCGTTAAAATAGGAAAGCATAGGCGTGTTTAAGAATTCAAAAATGGATACTAGTATTCGTTCGTCTACTATTAGCCATGGCTTTGTGTCCAGTTCATCTCCAGGCGGCTCGATATCATACAGCCAAGGTGACGGTAATGGGCCAACGACCACGAATATGCAACAAAATTTGGTTCTTTATGGTTATACTTTTCTCTTTCTTTTTGGATATTTTGGTCATATAAACAGCATCATTATCTTTCTTCGACATACACTTCGTGAAATATCAACAAGTTGCCTTTTTATTTGTATCACCATATCTAATATTATCTATTTATTAACATGTATTTATGATTTTCTATATACTGGTATTGGTCTCTCACCTGTCAGTGCTCTAACAAATCCTTCTTTATCCAATGCACTTTGTCGTTTTCGTACATTTGTTCAATCAGTAGTAATGTGTTCATCAGCTTGGCTGCTTTTAGCTATTTCCATTGATCGATGGCTTCGTATTCGTTTTCCATTTCAAGTCAAAAAATTATGCACAATAAAACGTGTACTATTCGGAGCATTGATCATACTTATTTTTGCCATTTTGTTCAATGCTCATTTACTTTTACCATCATTCGGAACTCTACGACAAGTAGATATTTGTGGTCCCATTTCAAATAACATTTATACAATTTTCTTTCGACAGGTATTTCTTCGTCTATGATAAATAGAAAAACGATGAATTAATTTCTTTGTTTTGATTATTCATTAGATATGGACCGTTTTATTAACATGTTTACAATCTCTTGTACCAACAGTTATTCTTTTGGTTGTAACAGTTGATATGTTTATTCACCTTCGAGCACAACAAAGACAAAGCTTAAATCAGAATCGTCGTCGTGCTTTTATTGATCGACAAATATTAGCAATTATGTCAACAAGTATATTTTTATTTTTTTCAACACAAATTCCAATAAGTGTATTTCATATACTTCTTGTACCTGTTCTACGGCCTACACTTTCGGGGACTTACATACTTCAATTAACAACTATTTTTAATTTTGTCGCATCCATCAATTATGCTGTAAGACGAATTTTAATACCCATTTCAAAAAGAGAAACTGTGAATATTTTTTTAAATAATTTTTTTTGATAGAAACTAGTTAGAGAGATGCGGTTTTCACCGTTTAAAAGAAGAGATAAAACTGCATCGAATCGTCTATATCAGATTTATTTTAACAAGTTTCTCAGAGTCTACCATCAAGTTTGTTAAACACAAAAGGCTTTTTAATGTAAAAGTTTTACAATCTCAATCTTCAGGAGTGCAGTAGAATAATTAACTGAAGATCTATAAATTCTGTAAGTCCTATGTTGTAAGCTTTAACCAATCATGAGTTATACACATTTTATTGCATGTTATCGGTAGATTTTTCATAAAAAATTGACTTCTTTTTCTCAATTTTTAACGAAAAATCCACCTTATAAACTTATTCAAAAGCCTAGATTCTTTGAAAGAATGGACGAGAAACTGAGAATATTTGTCAGAAAAGTCTGATATAGACTATTCGATGCAGTTTCGTCTCATGATTTAAACAGTGAAAACCGAACCTCTCCATATAGTTTCTATCAAGAGTTATCTAAAAAATACTGACGCGTGTTCTTTCTTTGAAATGGGTATTAGAGTTATATTGATTTTGAAATCAATCAAGTTTAACTCATTTTTCATTTAGACAACATTTTATGTTCATTGCTTGACAAGTAGATTATTTCGACAAGAATTTTACAATGTTATATGTTGTTGTTCAATCTTTAAAAATAGACGCATCGGTGTTGAGACACAAACGATCATTCAAACAAATCAAAGACAAATAGAATTAACACGATTACGAGAAAAAAGAAATCATCAACTATGTGCAATTGAAACTGTATAATAATACTACTTTTTTTATCTCTTAATTTAAGATTTATATTTTTATCGAAAATATGCTTGATTAGATGTCATATAACAAACTGCACTAATTGTTGTATTTGTTGAATATGCCGCATGTTCTTGTCCATGTTACATGTACATATTTGTCATTGTTGTTCAAAATTCTAATTGACTTGAATATTGATGCTGTAAACCACGTATTAATTATTGATATAAGAGATTTTGACCTGAAACTGATGAACAAATTTTTACTAATGAGCCATGTTCCCAATTCGCTTGTTGGCCACGAATATGTATAAAATTGTGGCCACTATAGCTTGTTTGTTGCTAAGGACGGTCTCTTTTTCTTTCATCTAGAGGAAAGAAAAAGAGACCGTCCTTAGCAACAAACAAGTTATAGTGGCCACAATTTTATATATATTCGTGGCCAACAAGCGAATTGGGAACATGGCTCATTGAGCATTGATCATGTCACGAACACGCTCGTAATTATTTCTGTCAAGTGTTTGTTTCAATACATGACTTGTTTCTGCTCGATTACGTTGTATATCAAGTGCATAATTGACTGACCGCAGAAGAGTAACACCTCCATTGTTAACGCGTACAGAATGGAAAAAAATCTATTGGTGTAACATAGAAACCAATATTTCTCAATAAGAAAAGCAATTAGAATAAATGCCGTATAAGAATGAAAGAATTTTATTAAAGAAAAAAAAAATACAATAATTGCATTAGACTACAGGATAAAGAAAACCAATTTGTAAAACTAGATTTTAAATGGTTTGTCACCAAATTCCTGACGTGACATAAATTCTTCTACATAAGTCGGTAATAAATTTCGTGAAAACCCATCTTGTTTTTTACTGTTTTTATTTAACGCGCATCCAAATACTTTCAATATTCTGGGTATATACACCAGTTGTAATATCAATAAAACTTAGAGAATGGTTAACTGTTAGATGAGTATAGTCGGTGTTATTCAATAATTGAAAATAAGTCCACCATGCATCGGAATGCATTATTGAGCCTACAAAATATCCTGAGTGGCAGTTAGCTGATGGATTTTTTGGATGGTGATAGTATCCAAATCGTTGACGTTTACAAGATCATTCATTTTTATTTTACTTTTTATTATTGTACTGCAGAAAAAATATCGAGAATGTTTTTGTTATATCAATATAGGTGTTACAATCGTTATATATATAAATTTTTCTGGTTCACCAGTAATTATTAGACTTTATTTATTAGTTTTTTTTAAATTTTAATTGAAAGAATTTTTCTTATTTTATTATCGAGACCGGCTTTCCCATTATTACTCTTCATTGTTTTCATATAAAATAATCACAGTAAGTACTTCAGATATTTTCTTAATTAATAAACTTCTATATTTCTAATTAACATACATCATTACTTTTCCCTCTTGTCAAAAATGAGATATATTGTTTTCATATTACATCTATTCTAATTATTTTTATTGTCGAGAAAAGAAATATTGGTTTATATGTTGCACCAATAGATCTTTTCCCGTTCTGTATGCGTTGACAATAGGGTGTTCCTATTCTGCAGTATTATTCAGTTAAGGTAATATCTTTTATCTTGTACGAAATGACAAATGACAACAGACAGAAAAATATGGTTTGTGGGTTTCTCCAGCCAATTGAAAAAGCATCTCTGACCTCTTTTAAATAAATATGAACAGGATATAAGGACATCTATAAAAACTAAAGTCATACAAATTATCACCTTCTCTCCATGACACTGAATTTATTCAAGAAGGTGTAGTCGTGAATGTAGGTATCAGTGCCGATTTGAATCTTCACTTCACCGACACCTTACGCGTACGCCCAAACACCCATACCTACACCAAGAACGACCCTAGTGAAGCCGCAGCGACTACAGTGCTCATCATGCGCGGGAACAAAGATTGTGTGTGTGCGTTTCTCTTTGCCAACACTCACATTCACATCCATAGGCGGCATACCAGCAAGCAACAAGTTAGCAGTTGCTTCCCCTAATTGTTCACTTTTCATCCGTATATGTTATTTCTCAATGTTTTCTGAACTTTTGATTATCAAGTAGCTTACATTTTGAACTTCTTTCTGCTATCATCCGTGATCACCGTATAAGGACGTTCTGATAAAGGAGATCAGCTAGCTGTTAACATAAATAGTTAAATAAACAGTTTTCATGAGAAGACTGCAATATTTTTCATTGATTCTTAGGTTTATAATTTCATCAAGAAGGAATAGCTGACAAATGGCAGACAATGTTTCACATGAGTATCACCTCGAAAATCCAATGTTTGGCGAGCGGAAGATAATAATAAAAAAACTTGAGTTTTGCTCACTTGTGGGTGTGATTTTTCCAGACCGGTAAAAACCGGTCGATTTGTCAGATCACTTTTGATCGGTTGAAGGAAGTAGCTTTAAAAAGCACTCAGTTTTCTTTTTCTGCTCGCATGCTTAGAACCATTTAGGAGAAAATATTATGTCACAGTTGTTCATATTTTTAAGATATCTCAAGATTAATTTGTGATGTCTCTTTAACGCGAAGAGTAGACAATTTAACCACCAACGGATTTTCAAACTGCAGTTCTTGAATCTTTTCATTCAAATTTTACTAAAAAACCTAGTGTTCCTCTGAGAACGACGGCCGAAACGCAAATCTACTCTCCAACAAAATATCAGCGAGATAAGTTCAGAAATTAATCTGAAGTAGCACAGTTTTGATTGTGCTTTTCATGAAGCAAAGCACAAGTCGACTAAAGAAATAAAAAGTATAGACAAGCAAGACAAGATAAAACTGATAATTTCTGAAAGAATACTGTTTGACTATCTTGGTAACTGCATTTAAACTTGTCCTCAACACGTTTTATCAAAGAAAAATAGCATACTAAAAAGAAATTTTTAAACCGGTGCTGATCGGCAGGTCTGGCAATCTCAACCGGCCCGCCCGAACCGTTTTCAACTCTGTCTCATTCTAAGACTTATTGCTTCTTCTAAAAAATTGAGCTTGCGCCGGCCATGTTCACATTCACACTCAAAACCGAATCCTATGTATATATGGCAAAATTTCCAGATTTATAATATATGAAGGTCTACATCGTGTTTCATATTTTTATCTTGCATGTATTTTAATAACAGTTTTTATTATAATAAAATAGCATTTAATTTTTTCAACATAATATTGTTCCTGTATTTCTATCTGCAATTGCTCCCATGTCTGATTATCATATAAGATATTACGTGATATAGCTTTATCGATCGTAATTAAACATCGATAATTAATATCCATTTGTATTAACAGTAATAAATCTCCATTAATTGTTTGATATTGATTTCAATAATTTAAAAAACCATGTTGACAGTCAAAGTAAAAATAAATGATTATAATTTAAAAGATAATAAGATTTATTTATTATTGTATTTATATTTAATATTTCAATAAATCTATTTAATTGTTTATTATTTGCATAGTTCAAATGATTTAATAGAGATTCATATATTTCTTCTTATTGCACTAAAATATAAATTTCCATTTGTTAATACTCATATTCGATAATCTTCCTGATTTATAAATTAATATCGTTGATAAAATACAATTCATTGAAAATAATAAATTTTTTTTATTTAGTAGACTATTGTATAATTATTAACAGATGGTTTAATAAAATTTAAATTCATAAATTGGTTGAAAAGAAATTTCTTTTTCGAATGTTATTATGATTAATTAAAACATTAAAACATATAAATCTTAGTAAAGATTGATATTTAGCAAAGATAAGATATGAATACTTTTTTTAATCATTTATTTAAAGAATAATATTTTATGAAACCAGCATATTCATCTAATTGAAAGAATTTTTTATTATGCATTTGTTTTATTAAAGGATAAGTTATATCAAATGTATTTATTTGATTAAAAGAATTTTTTATGTGAATATTAGATTTTGATAAACTATATGGTGTGAGGTCAAGCATTCTACTATAATACATAGATATATTTGGAATTATGTGCAAAATTTCAGACCTCAAGGCTTTGTACAACGTCTTATTCTTACATTTCTTTTCTAAATGGCTCACGTGATCGATTTCGAACTATGATTTTATATGAACAGGGATTTGATTAACATACACGGAGAGTCAAGCTCTTTTAGTATCGTTGCTGTTAATAAAATTGATGCTGTCTGAATGATAATTGAAGATGGTTCTCACTGAGCATACAAATTAATATAAGACACTTAGAGCATAATTTCGTCACCAATTACTTCTATTTATTTAAATTTCCACAACATTTGATGCTTGATAAATGTATTATTAACTCATCGATGACTGAAAATAGTCTCATTTTCAATCGTCTCGTCATTTACTGAAGAGATTCGGATACATCAATTTCAGTCTTGCATCACTAAGCGATCGACTATAGTTATATCATTAGAACGGAGACTAAGAAGTATAGTCAAATATCATAAAACAACCCAGGACCAGTCAAAACTCATCGAAACAAAGGTTCAGACAAGTGCATCATGTCATTGGAATCTGATAGACAGTAGCTAGTTTAGTCATAAGCTTTCAAACTATATCACAAACGAAATAAAAGATTGATCTTTAATGTCTCACATTTCACTATGAAAATGCAAGGCCATGGACATGCTGGACTTTCAAGGAATTTGCGGTACAAAACCATAATTTGCAGATCTAAACCTATGTAACTTCTTTCTGTTGTTAAAATTGATATATCAATTTCACAAAATTAGACGCAACGAGAGCAATTCGATGTTACTTGTACTTTAAGCAGTCATTAATAGCCTCTCAAAAAGAAATGATCGCAAACTCTCCCTCTATGACCTATTTTAATCGAATGCATGAGTGCATTGCTGATGAGAACTCCTACTTGCAAAAACAACACTAGAACCAGCCATTGAATATTTCTCTAAAGAACTGACAAAAACTTTTGCCGTGTCTGGCATGTCTACCACAATAAACAAACAGTTCATGTTGATGGTCTACTTCTGAAGAGATATCAAACGTTTTTGCTGAATTTTCATCGTAAAATCTTGCTTTTTGCAGTAAAACCATATTTTTGAATTTCGATCTGAGACACTGCCTATTTCAAAAAATACATGTTTTATCAATTATCTATGAAGAAAGGCTTATACACTGAAAATTCCATATCTGAGGAAGACTCAGTTCAAAAATTCTGAAATTTTTTATGTAACAAAAATATGGTTTTCCTACAACAGTGCAATGCTACAACAAAAACTCACTCAAAAATGTTCGATATTTCCTACGAAACAGACCCTAAACACGAACTGTTGTTTGTTTGGTAGACATAGTTGATTAAGATGTTCTAAGTCCCGAATCAAAAGTGAATTGATATTAGGAAATGCTCCTTTGTTCATAGCATGCAGAAGATGTCTACAATTTTGCTTTGAAGAATTCTTGCATTAGATTTTATTCTTTTCTCATCACCATTATTACTAATTAATTCAAATTCTATTGAATATTTTCTTCGATTTTTCATTTATGAAAGTAAAATTCATATGTATATTATTATGTGCAATAGGATAAGTATGTTCCGCAACGATAAATAAGTGTTACAGTCAAAATTAGAAATCCAGTTTCATTCGAAAAAAATGAGGATTGAACTAGAAGTAAATTTTTCAAATTGAAAACAGTTACAGTATAAAAATAATGTAGGTGTGAGTGTGAGTCTTCGCTTAACCCACGCTCACGCCGTACATGAAATCGATACTGGAGATTGACCAGTCTAGACTGAGTCGATACGGATTTTAGACCAGGTAGTTTATCTTGGATCAGCGTTTACCGGCTGAACCGATACGCTTTGATAGAGTTCTCGTAGTGATGAATTTTATTATGGTCACTTTTGACGTCCATCCTGACTTTGATTAGGTGATTAATGAAAATATAACTTTTTTTGATTTGCAGTAACGACGAAAAACGCCTGATTCCAATAACTTTTGAAACTCAAGATTCGTGCTTCGTACCATCTTTCGTATTCGAGTAAAACTTGAATACGATCTAAATAATTTAGAAATTGCTGCATTTGTTTAAACCATCGAGCCTTCAGTCTAGATGAACAAACATGTGTAGACCTTTGTTGTCGATAATAGTATGAAGTCAATATAAATAGAGAATCAAATGAACGAGTCTAGGTGGTCATGGCGATGATAAGGAACGTACTGTGGCCATTCAACAGTTCCCCATCCAAGGCGCATTCGCATGAGTCTCTGAATCCTATTTGAAACTTATAAAATTTATAATCATTGGGACGTGCTTAAACTGAATTCTTCACTATTAAAAATTCAAATTAGTTAAAATTCGAAGAAATCAATGTTGATATGCAATCAAAGAGGCAAATCTTGATTTTGTACGTCATCTCGCAAACATGCATCGAAAAGAGTACGACTAATAATCTCTTTGATTTTTAAAAAAAAAATGTTCATTACTTCTATATTCATGTATGTATTTCAAGAAGATCATCATGAATTAAAGGTCAAAGAAATAAAAATGAACTTATTTACACAATGACATACTGAAAGAGTATCCACCAATTTAACTCATAAATAATGCACCACTGGCATTATCGAGCAAATAACTAAATAGTAGCTGTCTTATTAAAAAAAAAACTTTGTATCATCTGAAATTTTGATAAAGTTAATAACACCAAAATCTATGAAAAATGAATAATTTCATAAAGTTAACAAATAACTATGTTAGAATCACATTGTTTCCCTTCTACTAATAAACAATGCAAAGTATGATAAGTATTACCATGGTTTACAATATTTCTTGATCAAGTTTGTTTTGTTTAATAGCCTTTAATTACTACATTCTTTTAATTTTATCAACTTGCTAAACTTTCTCGAGCAAACATCATTTGTTCTCAATTGAATATTATACAATATAAGCTCTATGAATGCATGATTGAATAATATATTATTTATGACTGACTAATTCATAATGATTCAATTCTAAAATAATTCATGTTACAACATTAAATTTCAAAGTTATTTCATATAATAAATTCGATCAATAATATCTATCTTAAAATAAAAATTGTTTTAATACTTTTTTAATTATGCATTGCTTTATTTTACTGATTTATGAAATAATATCATATCTCGATTGAGAAAAAAAAAACTAATTCTTCACCATCGTGGATGATAATATAAATAAACATAGTTTAGTGTATTATATCGAAGTTCACATCGTCGACCACGATAGTTATATCCACAGAAACAATATGGATGACCATATCCATTAACACATCGACCACCATTATAACACCTTTAATGTATAAAAAAAAAAAACAAAGATTTATGTCTTACGAATTTGTTTCTTTTTTGAATACTCTTACCAACTAGAATCACATGCTGGACGGCATGGATGACTACAGTTTGGTCCATAAGTATTTTCTGGACAAACGCAAACTGCTTGAAGAGTTAATTGATTAACAACACAAGTTGCACCATTTTGACATGGGTTATTAATTAAACATGGATTATTCGGTAATGGATTTATTGGACAATCAGGATTTGCAATAATATTATTTGGACAAAGACATATATAAAGTGATGGATTTTGATTTGTTGGTATACATGTAGCACCAGCTGGACAAACAGCATTGGTACATTGATTTGGAATTACAACTGATGGTTGAGTAGTTGTAACTAGACCACCATCACATTCAATTGCACTTGGTTTTGTTGTCATGTCTGGACAAAGACATGAAAAAGTATTACCTGTTTGAACACATGGAAATGTACCGCATGTAGCTATTGCTGCTGGTGTACATTGATTGCTTTGTGCATTACTTCTAGACAATAATGCTACAATGATAATAATCATATTTTTAAGAATCGCCATGATATTAGTCTTTAGTTTGCTGTTGAAGTCAATACTAATTTGAATTGATACAATAAGAATTGCAGACTGATTTTATAGGGAATTGAAAAATTAATAGTTCGACAAACATTCATTGTCGATTTCTATATTATCCTCAATCAATGTGAAAAATACAAATGATAATATTGATATATTGTCATACGATATGATTGTCCTTGTGTCATATCAACGAAAGGAAAACGATTTCAACTAGATTAATATAAAAAACGATTTATTGCAAATGTATTAAAATACAATATAGAAATTTGATCAGTGTATATTTTTATAAAACTAATATTCATGATCATGATGGACGTACTATTATCATTAAAGAATCATACAGAAATAGTGGGTATGCATTTCTACAGTAAGATTTTTCTTAATAAAAAAAAAAATTGATTTGTATACATTCGATTGTGGAGAAAAAGGAAAAAAAAAGAACCGTAAAATATATTCTTTTTCACAACTTATATACGTAGAATAAACCAGTAAAAAGATCTGATACATTGATAAGATTATTATCACATTGATTATACAGAATATTAATTCTTTGACTACTGACGATGAATATATTCTTCATGATCTTAGTCGTCGCTTGAAACTATTTACGTTTATTAAATGCATTTGAGTGAATACCAATACTAAATTGAAATCATTCTGTTTTACGTATGTTTACCTTTAGTTGATAATCAAAGGGTTAATAAGGGGTTGTATAGTTATTGTTCGAACATATTTTTTTCTTGCTGCACGCATCGATTATTGAATTATAATGCATTGTATCTTTTTTTTTTCTTCATCTTACAACAAATCGAATAACAGATCAGGTGTTTGGATGATTTCTATAGACAAGACTGTTCATATGATATCATTATACCTCTGGACTGTTTACTATTATCTTTGTTCATATTTGTTTTTAAATAATTTCAAGCAATAGAACGTGTCTTTTTAGTAATTTTCTTTTGATGCTAGTCAGCAGAGATTGACTCTATTTTGCCGCTTGATAGAACAAGATATTACAGCATGATTTATCAATTCTAATCGAACATTATTATTTTCTAAACTATTTCAATCATGATAATAACAATTTTATCATTGTGTAAAAGTTACTATTAATTGAAAAGAAAAATATTGCCAAAGGTCGACCATTTTATCTTCAATGTAAACTATAACTTATACTAAACAGGGCAATGAGTATGTTTTAAATATTTTGTTAATGTTTACTGTATTCTGATTATTGACTTATTATTAATGCATCATTAGTTAATGTGCATAAAGAAAGAAAATTTAAGTTATAAACAAACTGCCATATGTCAATCGAGTGTAAAAAATTTTAACAATCAAATTTCGTTTAACGAGTTGATCAAATACAAAAACTTGAAAATAAAAAATAAATCAGTATATTTAATGTGTTTTTTTTTTTTAATTTATATTTACAAAATCGAAGACATTTAATAGCTGATATAAATTATATTGACATATTGAATCGTTTCGAATGCCATATGTAGTTTTTTTTTTTTTTTTGTGCGCAATTGAATAATAATGTACCAATTGTTCGTCGTGCAAACATATTATTTGGTTAACCGGTATCTTTTTCGCTTTCCTCTAGAACAATACTGGATGTTATTTGACCTATATTTTTTTGTTTGGAAAGAAGTAAGAGAAAAAAAAACACACAACATTAATTTTGTTTTTTTGCGATAAACATGTCGAGTGTGATTTACATTAAAGTTTGTTTCTTATTTACGACATGAATGAATGATAAATTAACATGATATTATATTATGAAAAAAACATATTTATTCTTTTGATTTTCATTATAGTTAATAAATAATCATGCTTGAATATGTACAATGTTTATTACTTCAAAACAAAAAGGCTTAATTCGATATGAAGTATATTGTTTTATAGAAGTAATAAAAATAATAAAATTGTTTAGTCGTGTTTATTGTGTTACTTCATAAATCAAAGTTAAGAGAACAGTCTAGGTTTATTAACTTGACGTACATGTCATTTATGTCAACCTTTGATAAACTCGATAATTGTCACTTGTTTTTGTTTTTTACGTACTATGTCTATTTAGACAGTATTAAAAAAACACATTTTTTATTCAAAAGAAATAAAATTAAAATATTTTTAGAATAAGAGATTGAAACAAATTACCAAATCTTATCATACTCGAGCAATATTCTCATTACATTTACAACAAAAATTTATCTTCTAGGCGTGAGCAATAATCTCAAGATTTATTACTTTGACTATGTCGTAAATCAACGAGGTCATTGGCTACAACATTACGATGCAAACTTTTTCTACATGTTTATCAATATTAAAACCATCTAAGCAGCCAAAATTCTTCTTTGGTTAGGTTTTATCGTATCAGATAAATTCTTATCAAGACTGTTCTACATATAAAAAAAACAAACTCTACTCATTTAACCCTTGAGAACGATAAAATGCAATCGACGCAATATAACATATTGCTAATGTTATCCTAGATAAATATAAGATAACATAAACATATTGTTTTGCAATTACATTCTAATATACACTTTACACAACTCAAACCAGGTCAATGCAATCTTACGCTTCATAAGACTGTCGTTTTTTTTTTTTTTTTTATGAGACTAATCTATTTCAGTTAATCAAATCTTTTTTTTTTTTCTTATTTTCTTTATTAATTCAACTGTAAAAATAAAAAACATTGCATTAAATTTTCGAAAATGATTGAATCATATGCAAATAGAGAATTCAAAACAATAATATTATATTTTCTAATTCATATTTTCTTTCTTTATTTTTTCTTTAAACGTTAACTTATACTAAATAATAATAATAATAATAATAATCCCATTTACTTATCTGTCTCGATACAATTAGTTTTTTCCTCTTATTCAAGACATATTTCGTATGTTATACATGAAATAACTCGAACAATCTAGGTACAAAAAAAAAAAAAACAGAAAAAAAAAAGAAGAATAGGTACGAAGAGAGGACAAGAAAAAACAAAAAGAAAATGAATACAAATGAAAGGTATGTCGTACATGGCCTTTGGTCATCATTACGCACAACACATGTCTGTCTGTTTGAATTTCATCCCAGACATAGGAAAAAAGACGAGAAAACATCAATACAAGTTGATAACAACAACAAAAAAAAAGAGAAGATCGAGAAAGATAGAGACCGGTATAGGTGAAAACAAGAAAGAAAAAAAATGAGTATATATTCACAAATTTATGAATGTGTGATGCTTCGCAATAATCGAGAAACATAGTTATATACACTATGAAAAATATCATATCATCGCTGCCTAACTAGATTATGATGCTTCAAGCAAGAACATAAAATGGCACAACAATGGCAACGATATTAAATATATATATACAATAGAAAATGGAACAAGACTATAACAAATATATATTAAATGTCGGAGTGCGCATTACAGAATGAATGAGAGACACATAGAAGAAATGATTTGAATTCGAGACTTAACGGCTCAAATTAAGTTTAGTTCACCTCCTTATTCCAGTGTACAACCCAGCCTTTAACTGCGTTAAGCGCATCACAACAACCCTGATGTTCACAAAATAGGAAAAACAAATCATATGAAGAATAACAATACTGAAAATCAGATCGTAATAATGCGTAGAACGGACAAGGAAAGAAAAAAGAATAGAACTAATCACTGGGTAAGATAAATAATCTATCCTACTCAAAGTATACATATAACAAAGAACGTTCTTCTAATATATATGTTTTTTTTATAAGAGGGGGACAAAAAAAAAGTATATAAAAGTAAAACAAATAAACAAAAGACATATTGACAAAGATTTTTTTTTTTTTTTTTTTTTCTTTTCTTTTCTATGACTACCAAACCCGTTCAGGATGTATAACACGATGTTCACTACCGTTATTTGCCGTACGACGACAATCAGCTGATGAACTTCGAACTTGTTGTTGATGTATTGGATGCATGACAAATGAAGGTACAGGACCATAAACAAAATTTGTTGGTAAAGGATTTTGATTTGGATAAAAAAATGTTGGAGATGGATACCAATGAACGGGATAAAGAAGAGATTGTTGATTGTAAAAAACAAGATCTGTATCTGTATGAGCTCTATGATGTATTGGTAAATTAACAGGTGGTGATGGAAGCATAAAAACAGATAATGGAGTTGTTGGAGTTGGAATTATTGGTGATGGTGTAAGTGCTAAGATTTCTTGTTGTGTGGATGTTTGCATTGGATTCTCTGTTGAAGCTAAATAAAAATGTGGTGGTGGTGGTGGTTGTAGTTGTGGTATTGTTGTTGGTGTTGGACGACGAATAACTGTTTTATAACTACAAGCTAAAAAATCATCTTCATCACCCGATGTCATCGTGGCACTAAAAGAAAGAAAAAAAAATATATATATTACTTCTTTTATATATCTTTCTATTTTTAAACTTTTCTTTGTCTCTTTCATGTTTATTCTCTTTTATCACGTTAAAAGCAATTTTACATGCATTGATAATTCTATAGAAAAAAAAGAACAGAATTTATTGTCACTCTTTCTTTTTTCTCAACATTATGTCTATAGATGTTTTATGCACTCAAATATCTATACTAATGTTAATAAGAAATTCAGACATTCTATTGAAATTTGATTAATAAATTTACCTGGATAATCTTCGTCTTAAACTATCAAAATTTTGATTATCATTGTCCCTATGATTATTATTATTATTATTTGATTGTGTTTTATTTTGTTGTCGTTTTTTCTTTCTCATACGTCGCTTTAATATTCGTGTAACACTTGAATCTGATTCATTAAAATAATCATCATCATCATCATCATCATCATCATCATCAATATTATTATTATTATTATTATTATTATTATTTTCTTGATAATTTTGATCATATGATGATCTTCGACTTCGTTGATGTATACTATCAATACTACGTGATCGATGATACATCATACGTTCACGTTCGTCAATCATTTTAGTTATACTTAATGCATCTTTTGTGAAAGACTCTAAGCAACGAATACTATTATGACTAGAATAGAACAAAAAAGAAAATGAATTTATTCTCGTTTGAAAATTTCTTTAAAAAAAAAAAAATTTACCGTTGTAAAAGTGCAGGTGTATTCAACGGTCGATCATTTAATTCATGACTATTTTTAACCCAAGGATGTTGAAGAACTTCAGCAGCTGTTAAACGTAATGATGCATCACGAACTAATAAACGTTTTATTAAATCTTTAGCATCATCTGATATATATCGCCAATCTTTATCAGGAAAATCAAATTCACCATCTTGTATACGTTCAAATAATAAATTTTGACATTGTTCACATTCTTCACCTTTTGTCCAACCACATGTATGTCCACATGTACCATAAAATGGTGGATAACCCGATAACATTATATATATAATAACACCCAATGACCATAAATCACAACGTTTATCATACATTTGTAATGAACCTTCAAGACTAGTCCATGCATCAACAACTTCTGGTGCCATAAATTCAACTGAACCAACCTAAGAAAAACAAAATTTGTTTTTTTTTTGTTTTTTTTTTTGAAAATATATTTACAGGTGTTGATAATTCTGGTGTTGTTATTGGAGTTGTTTTATTACTATTAAGACGAATAGCTGAGCCCAAATCAAAATCACATAATTTTATTGGTACTATAGAATCGGCACGTTCAACTAAGATATTTTCCGGTTTTAAGTCCCTAAACAATAAAATTAATATATAAAAAAAAAATTCAGTTTCTATAGACAAACCTATGAGACATGCCCTTCGAATGAAGAAAATTAAGACCATTAGCAATATCACGTACGATTAAACTAGCTTCACGTTCCGTCAAACGGCCACGTTTCATTATATGATTGAGTAATGGACCTGATAAAAATTAATAAAATTAGTTTCTTTTGGTTTTTGAACTATTTATGAAAGAAAACATACCGCCTTCCATTTTTTGAAAGACAAGATAAAAATAATCATCATCCTCAAGAAAATCAATAATGCTTAGAATATTTTCACAACCACGACAATGATAATATATATCAATTTCTTTAAATACACGTGTACGATTTGGATGACGAGCTTTACTTATTATCTAAATTAGAAAAATAAAATATTCAACTTTATTCGAATAATTTCTTTTTATTTTCAAATGTTCCTTTATCTTTTCTTTAAATATTTTTGTTCGAGCTGTCAATATTATCTTTCGGTTTTTCTTATGTAGAATTATTCTTTTTTTTTTTTCTTTCTTTCTTTCTTTCTCGTTCTTATGTTACTGCAGATTTTATATCCGGGGTCGCTCGTTCTATTCCCTGTGTCACTGTGTTAGCTTACACATTCCATTCGTCATTTCTTAAAATATGAAGGGTCAAAAAAAAATATAAATATATACATGAAGAGAGAAATAATCAACATACTTTTACGGCATATTCTTGTTTTGTTACTCGATCGCGACACGTTTTGACAACTCTAAGAGATAAAAACAAACAAATCATTGCTTTATTTTGAATTTGATTTCTTTGTTTTGTTTTTACCCGTGTGCACCGGTTCCAAGTAATTCTTCAGTTAATTTATATTTATCATTAAATGATATATCCGAATATGAATTAGCTGTTCGACGTTTTTTCTTTTTTTGTTGCCGTTTTTGCACGCTATTGATTGGCGAACCTTCCGATTTACAACCGCCAGCATTTGTTGAATCACGTAAAATAAGGTCTATTACGATAAAATAGAATAAAAACATCTGTTGCTTTTTTTTTTTGCTTTTGTTGTTGTTTTGTTTCGTATTTACCTGCTGGTTTTGATACATTTAATGATGTTGGTCGTTTCATTTGTATTCGTCCAATATTTTCAATGGGTGTGTTCAACATTGATGGACTACTATTCGATGAATCGTCATATGAATGAACAGCAACTCCATTCAATTCTTCTTCACTCTAAATATATACATACAATCCAGTCTGATCCTTCAAAGTTCATATGGATCGAAGAGCTTAAATCTGACCATTGTGATTGTTTTATGACAGCTTACTAATCTTTTTTTTTTCTGTATCGAAATATTGAAAAGAAAAATAACTTACGAATGTGAACATGGCATCCATTGTTGATTGGCTTTATCTGTTTTTTGAAAATAATTTTGAATAATAAATAAATAAATCAATCAATTATATTTTCTTATCGAATAAATTTAGTCCCATCAAATATTTGTTAACTGATAGACGATCTTTTTTTTTCTGTATTTTTTTTCTCTCGTCTTACACTCACTCACAACACACACACACTTTCGTTAGTCGCCGTGCGCGCGCACGATAGAAATAAAAGCTACATACAACAGTGCGCTTGCCATTTATATCGGCGTCAATCGTGGTGTACTCTCTTCTTCCTTTGCTTCTTTTTTTTCTTTCTTTTCTTTTTCGTTCTTTTTTTTTTCTCTCTTCTCCTTTTTTACCCGGGCAAAATTATGGCCGCTCAACAATTTACTGTAGTTCGGGCGTCATAAGACTATTCGCTAGAGTTTTGTCTATATATCTCGTGAAGTGCGTATGAGGAAAAAAAAGTGATAGATGAGAGGGACATACAGAAGCACGTGCTTGCTTATGGATATATCAGTCGATCAGTAAAGATAGGAAATATCATAAAACATATGACAAAAACTATACTAATGATGATAATCTATTACATAGTCTGTAAGACAGAAGAAAAGGGTAATTGGTTCGATTGTTACTTGAGATATTTTGACAAAGTAAAGGCAAACAAATGTAAGATGATGACCAAAAAAGAAAGTTGATTACTACTTTATTTGATGCATAAAAATAATGATACTTAAAATAACAAAAGAAGCCTTAAATAACATCGGCTTTATGAAATTTTCAAGTGTTTATTTTATACTAAAACAAAAAGAAGATGCAGACAAAATGAAATCTATTCCGATGAAATTTTCCTATTTTAAAAAAAAAAGAAAAAGTTTCAATTCAATTAAAATCCTTTTCTTTTGTTTTTTTTTTATGAAACTAACTATTTGTTTAGACTAATATCTTGTTCTACGTTATATATATATATGACACGTACGATGATGATGATGATGATTAGTACACATGACATGGTATTAGTTGAAATACAGACAGACAACAGATGTTTTTTTTTTTATTGTTTTTCGAATAGTTATGACTTATTCTTTTTATTGTTATCATTGAAGATAAAATAAAAGAGAAAGTGAATGAGTGAGTGGAAGCCCTCAAGCATAATGATCACTTTCTCACATATGTTAGGTGTGAAAAAAGGATTAATGAAACTACACATAGTATCTATGTACGAAAATCGATTCAATTAGAATGAAAGAAAATTTCATGACATAGCGTTGCGAGGACAAACGCGATTAAAATCAAAATAGATTGTAAGTATACTTTGTGTATATATATGTCAGTTTACTATACGTATCTTCAATGACAGATAGTGAATAAAAATCAGATAGAATAAGAAAAATCTCTTGACATTCGTCGTAAAAATATATCGACATATATTAATATTCACTGGCACAGTTGACAACGAGCAAAAAAAAATGCATAGAGGTTATTTAGTTTCTGTTTTTAGAAAGTCAACCTTGATATTAATGTGCGCAGCATACTGCATGAATGATATTTCATTAGTTAAATTCGATGTATGAAGCAAGGTGACAAAAAAACGCAATATAATTGTTGGAAATTGAAGAGCGATTCTATATATATATATATATATAAAGTAAATTTTCGTCTTCTTGATTGTTTTAAGATAATTTTACAATAATCTTTTATCTTTGATAGAAAAAAAAAAAAAGAAATATTTTTCCATGACAAATAAGGAAGTATTTCAAATGAAGATCATTATCAGCATGATTTCACAGTTGAGTTAAAAGAAGCAAACGCCTACATTTTTTTTCTTTTTTTAATATATATTTACATATCCTCAAACAATTTCTCCTTTTGTCACGCATGTCTACTTATCATTATTCTAAAAAAAGAACAACACAGAACAGTGAACAGACGTTCTTGCGGCTTATTATTAAATATAATATCGCATATGAAATAAGACTGATAATTTTAAAAAAACAAAGCAAAACATCTATACAAACCATTTAAATGGAGCTGTAGAAAGTGAGAAAACATTTTTTTTTTGTTAATTCTAAAGAAGTCTTTCCATTTTCTTGAAGATAGTCGATGTTTTCTTTGCAGAAATTATTTAAATTATAAATATGATCAACAAGTATTTCATCTTAATCTTTGGATTACTATAAGACTTTACTTCTTTTTTTTTCCTCATATAATACAATGAATGTAATTGGTAGCAGAGAACACTTCAGATTTCTGGCGGCTTATGGCAGTGTATTATGGATACTATAGAAAAATCTCAATCCATGTGTTCAATTAACTTGAGTAAGTTATAAAAGAAAGCGTCAAGCAATAAAATTCCCATGACCTTTAGAAAAAAAAAGGATTCCATACCATCATATGAGAATTTCTTATTTAAATTCTCTTTATAAACTTTTAAATAAAATTCTCTATTAAAAATTTTTCATATCTCGAAAATTTAACTAATATGCTTTTATTTTATTTTTATTTCCTTCGACTAATATAAGCGAGATCGTTCATCGTACAATTACGAACAAAGGAAAGAAAAACCATACTATGACGAAAACTTCTATTTTCGTCTAATAAACATCCAGAAAAAAAAAAAAAACAAGAAATAAATTCAACACACACACACACATAAAGAGATGAGTGAATATGAACGTAAATAATGCTTAAATCGTCTACAAAACTAATTATTCTCCAACGATAAGTTTTGTCTAATGACGATATTATCATAAAAAAATAGCACAACGAAACAAAAACGAAGCATACAGCACCAAGAAAAAAGAAAGAAAAAAAAAAAAAAGCAAAATTAAACAAATTCACACATGCATATTATTTGATTCATTTTTATTTGATGTGTGCAAATCAATATATATTTATATACATATATAAAGATAGGGACCGGTTAATAAAATACTTGAATAAAAAAAAAAAAACACACAAAATTCGTTCACTTAGCACGATTTGGAAGTGTTGAATATTTTTGTTTCGGTGTTAATCCAGCATTATTACCGAATAAATTGGAAGTCGACGAACTCATACTTGTATTTGGCGAACGAAATGATGCAGTACTTGTTCTAAATTCATAATAAATAAATTCGAATATAGTTTTTAATTAATTTTTTTTTTGTATCAATCATTTAGTACATGTCGAATAAGAAAGCGAACAAAATAACACGTACCGATCATGAGCAACACATATAGAGCGAAAAATTTTTTTAAAGCATCTTGAAAATTTATAAAAATAGAAAACATACGTAAAATTATTAATACCAATCCTGATCACTAGGTAAACTATTAGGTGAACTAAATATGTATACGTAGGAATTACTAGTTGAATTAATGGGACAAATAATAGACAAAACTCACTAAGTTATTAAACTTTTAGCAGGCATTGTTGCGGATTTGTGAATATTTTTTGGAGGTTTTTTATTCCTATTTCTGAAAAATATTAATAGATAGACAATTTCTTTTTTTTGGTCTTAACGAATTTTTCTCATCATTTTTGGAATTATTTTCATTAAATTCTTTCAAAACAAAAAGAAAATGAAAATTCAACTTGATATATTAGTTAGAACGTATATTTAGATACTATATATGAATATATACATGTATTCATAGGTCATGTCTTTATTTTACTCAATAATCTTTCCTTTTTTTTTTTTTACACTTCATAGATAAAAACTAGCTGTAGGATAGACTAGAATCATCCTGCTTATTTAATGAAGAACAACGAATTTCGCGAAGCTATTCTAAGGGGAAAAATTATTCATCCGAATGAACTAACTTGTTTAGATTAAAGAAAAAAAAAAGCTGATCATAGACAAACTATAAGGTCGAGCGTTGTGTCTTTAATCCTATCCTATTGAGAAAAAAGCATTATAAAATACTTTATTTGATAAGGTTGAATCACCAAATGTCATTCACTGTGACCTTCCATACGATGATTGACTGTTTTTTCAAGCTAGTGTTAATGATAACTTTCGAGAAGATTTAGATCTAATCTTTTTACTCTTGCTGATAAAGAATTGTTTATATTATTATCAAGATTTTACATATACTCAGATAGAGATATAAATCCATGTATTGATTGACAGTGGCAATTAGAACCCGTCAAATTAGTCTCCGGTCCAAACATTATGGACGCGATGACTCTAGTTGTTTGCAAAATATGCTAGGTACATTTGTTGTAACAACCAAAAATGTGTCATGTCTTTGGATTGATTGTTCGATTTCAATTAGAAAAGGCGACTATAATTTTTGTGAAACTTTTTGACCTCCGAATGGAATATGCGTTAAGCAACAGTGGCGACTCAACGACTAATCAAAGTAGAATATTATAGTATGTTGAAAATTTAAAAAAAGAAATATCTATCCTTTAGAATGAAATATACTTTTCATATGTTAATTTGTTTATTTTTTCAATACCTTCCTGGGTCCAATTGAGGAATTGGTGGACGTGGTACTTTTTTACTTAATTTATTAATCCATTGTTTTTGTTCTTTTTCACTAGCACACATAACCAATAATTCTTTAACAGTTAATGTATCATAAACTAAAACAAGACACATTAAAATATAAATTTTCCTTTTTTTTGAAATTTTTACCTCGACATGGTTGGATAAATTCTCCATCATCATAATGTTGTTTATGACAACGAACACGACATCGTGTACATTGAAGGCATGGTGGTGGAGAAATTAAATTATAACATGGATGATTACATACTTCACATTCTGTTCGCATACGATATGTTACAACAACGAAATTATGACCTTTATATTCAATGGTTTCACCATTATGACGATCTTGTTCCTTAATGAAAAAAGACATTGATATGCATTTTAAAGGATAATTTATACATATATATATATATATGTATATAAATATACTTGTGAATGAATCATTGATAACGAGAGAAGACTTGGCAATGAATTACCCTGACTATCATAAATAATTTGGAATATTTTTGGAATTATATTTGGATCAACATGAAGTACATCACCTATAAATAAAAATAAATATTTAAATTTCTTTAATGATTATTTTACCTTGATTAACAGCCCGAACATGATAAAGTTTACTAAAAAAAAAAAATAAATAAATAAATCATTAATTCAAAACTTTTTCTATGTGTATAAGAAGTTATTAAGCTAAATTTTAAATTTATTTGAAAAAGAAAAATATTTTTCTACTATTCATAAATTCTACCTACTGAGTCATTGAAGATCTACTTTTCTTGTGATATACAATAATTTTAAGCTAATCATTACACTCTATTGGGTCATTTGTGACTTATTTAGGCAGTACTGAACCTCGGCGTTTGGGTTCGTTTTTGAATGTAGTCACTTTCAGTTAATTAATAAAAATTTGGAGTAGAAATAAACCAATAGAAGTCTTTAACGGTTGGATATAAAAGGTCTACAGACAATAATGAAGTAAATAATCCAAAAACTAAAAGAAGTCAACTTTCTAAAAAAAACAAGGCTATTGATGTTCGGAAATATCCAAACCTGAACCTAAGAGCGCTTCTATAATAGTTTAAATAAAGATACAAATCTACAACTTTTGTTACGGTCTTTCAGCAGGACAAGACTTTAACAATAAAAATAGATGATTTCACACTGGAATCACAACCAATGATTTCGTATAATTAAAAAAAATGAGGACTAAAGATTCTGAAAATGAAAGACCTGCTTCGAATTTAATAATATTCGGCTTTGCAAGTGTCTAACCATATATCAATTTTCAAAAAAAAAAAAAAATATCCATGGCAAATATGAAAATACTGTTTTCTCAAATTTCACAGATAGTTTTTCCACTAACAACTCAAAATTTTCGCAGCTACGACATAAAAAGAGGGACTAGCCCATTCCATTCGTTTCCACCTCAAGACCCATAAAATCAGTAAAATAATCCAATTAACGCTAAAATTTAATTTTAATATCATTCAACACAAATGGAACATTTTTTGACTCAATAAACAGAACATATGTAGGCTAGTAGATAAAAAGTTCTTCTATCTAATGGTTTATGTATTATCAAGTTTTATTATGTATCATCAAACTACCTTTGTCGTCGTGACTACAGCTGAATGTGGCACCCTCTATTACTCTTAGATAGAGAAAGACTTCTTCTACTAACCTATATAGATCTTATACTAGGATAAAAAATCACTGTAACACTCATATTCGCCTTTAACTATACCATTCTGATAATTAGCATCTGTTTAAGGCCCCCCCCACTCAAAAAAAGTCAATTTTCGTCAAAAAAGTCGAAATGGAGATAAATGCATGGGAAGATAGCCCGTCATCTACTCTTTCACAACTGATAAAAAGTTTTCCTCGATACCTTCTTTCTGCCCAAAATTTTCGAAGATTTTCGTCAACCCCTATTCGAAAAACCAGCTGTTTTTTGAAAAATTAAAAAATGTTTTTCGTTTTTTCTCGATTTATGATTTTTTGATTTTGGTACAAGGATTTCTCAGTCCGGATCCGTCCAACATATTTAAATTTTTTTTTNATCAATTAAAAAGGACCGAAACGAGAAGGGACCCAAATGAGATATCATCGAATAGGACCAAATTGAGAAAGGACCGAAGTGAGAGATCATCGATTTTGACGAAAACAGAAAGGGACCGATCCGGACCGAATCGGGGGTAAACCAATAATAATGTACCAATGTTCCACCATGCAAACATACTGGTTGGTTAATCGGTGTCTCTTTTCACTTTCTTATCGAATGGGGGGACTGGATATTATTTGACCTATTTTTTTTTGTTGTTGTTTGAAAAGAAACAAGAGAAAAGAAACAAAATTAATGGTGTTTTTTTTTGTGATAAACATATTGACTATGATTTATATTGAAGTTTTCGTTCTTATTTACGACATGAATGAATGATAAATTAATCCGATTTTATCTTATGAACAAACTATAATGTATCCTCTCAATTGGTATTATAGTTAATAAATACATATCATGTTTGTTACTTTAAGAAGAAAAAAAAGAAGTAATTCGATGTGACGTGAATTTGTTTTATAGAAGTAATAAAAAAAGTAATAAAAAATGCGAGATAATCATTGAAAGTACTTGTGTTTTTTTTTTGTACTTCGTAAACAAGAGTTAAGAGACTGTTCTAGGTATTAGATGTATATGTCATGCAGGTTAACTCATAATAATGTCAATCGTTGTCATTTGTTTTTTTTTCTTTAAGTACTATTTGGAATTTAGACAGTACAAAAGAAAAACGTTTTGCATTTAAAAGTAACAAGTTGAAATATTTCTAGAACAAGAGATTGAATCAAATTCAAACAATAATCTTGAAATTTATTGTGTCGTGTCTATCGTAAATCAATTGAGGTTATTGACTACAAAATTTAGAACAATTCCACATATTATGTAATTTATCTATTTTTGATTGTCATCTCTCTCCTTAAATAAACAGTGATTAAACCAAAGTGTCAAATTCTAAAAGGAGTGTTGAAATATATAGGATAGAAATTTGCATCCTCCCTTCCTCACAGACGTTGTTGATATACGTACATAATACGTGAATGATTCGCTATGGTGCAAATTTTGTCATATGTTTATCAATATTAAAACCCTCAAAATAACCAACACTCTTCTTTTTTTGTACTTTATAGTGTAAGATAAATTCATATGAAGACTGTCCTTGAAAAAAACATTCTACCCTTTTAACCCTTGAGAAAGGTAAATTATTCTCGATGCAATATACCATATTGTTTATGTTAGCCCACGTAAATATCAGATAACGTAAACATCTTGTTTTGCAATTACATTCTAATATATACTTTACAGAACTCAAAATAGGTCAACGCAACCTTATGCTTGATAATATTGTTGTTTTTTTTTATTATTTTTCTTCCTTAATTCAACTGTAAAAATAAAAACATGACATTAAATTTCAAAAATGTGTTTTAAATCATGCAAATAAAAAATTCAAAAAAGAAAAAATTTTATATTTTCTTTATTTTTTTTTCTTTAAATGTTAACTTATACTAAATAATAATAATAGTAATAATAATAATAATCCCATTTACTTATCTGTCTCGCTATAATAAATTCTTTCCTCTTATCCAAGACATTTCGCATGTTATACATGATATAACTCGAACAGTCTACGTAGAAAAAAACAAAAGAAAAAGAAGAATGGGTACGAAGAGCACAAAAAAAAACAAAAGAAAATGAATACAAATGAAAGGTATGTCGCACATGGCCTTTGGTCATCATTACGCACAACACATGTCTATCTGTTTGAATTTCATCCCAGACATACGAGAACAAAAACATCAAAACAAGGTTGATAACAAAAAAAAAGAAGAGAAGATCGAAAGAGACCGGTGTAGGTGAAAACAAAAAAAAGAAAGAAAGAAATGAGTATATATATATTTACAAATTTATGAATGTGTGATGATTCGCAATAATCAAGAAAACATAGTTATATACATTATGAAAAATATCATATCATCGCAGCCTAACTAGATTTTAATGCTTCAAGCAAAGAACATGAAAATGGCACAATAATGGCAACGATGTTAAATATATATATACAATAGAAAATGGAACAAGACGACTATAACAAACATATATATGTCGGAGTGCGCACTACAGAATGAATGAGAGACATATAGAAGAAATGATTTGAATTCGAGACTTAACGGCTCAAATTAATTTTACCTCACCTCCTTAATCAAGTGTACAACCCAGCCTTTAACTGCGTTAAACGCATCACGACGACCCTGATGTTCACACGAGAGGGGAAAAAAACTAAATATATGAAGAATAATAACAATACTGAAAATCAGATCGAAATAATATGCGTAGAACGGATAACGGAAAAAAAGAAAGAAATAGAACTCATCACTGGGTAAGATAAATAATCTATCCTACTCAAAGGTATACATATAATAAAGAATATTTCCTTATTAATATGTGTTTTATAAAGGGGAGGAAGAAAAAAAAAAGTATATAAAAGTAAAACAAATAAACAAAAGACATATTGATTCTATGACTACCAAACCCGTTCAGGATGTACAACACGATGTTCACTACCGTTATCTGCCGTACGACGACAATCAGCTGATGAACTTCGAATTTGTTGTTGAGGTTGTTGAGGTTGTTGATGTATTGGATGCATGATAAATGATGGTAGAGGACCATAAACAAAATTTGTTGGTAAAGGATTATGATTTGGATAGAAAAATGCAGGAGGTGGATACCAATGAACAGGATAAAGAAGAGTTTGTTGATTGTAAAAATCAAGATCTGGATCTGTATGAGCTCGATGTTGTATTGGTAAATTAATAGGTGGTGATGGAAGCACAAAAACAGATAATGGAGTTGATGGAGTTGAAATTATTGGTGATGGCGTAAGTGCTAATATTTCTGGTTGTGTGGATGTTTGAGTTGGGTGATCTGTTGAAGCCAAATAAAAATGTGGTGATGGTGGTGGTGGTTGTGGTTGTGCTAATGTTATTGGTGTTGGACGATGAATAACTGTTTTATAACTACAGGCCAAGAAATCATCTTCATCACCTGATGTCATTGTAGCACTAAAAGAAAAAAAAAAAAATACTTCTTTTATATGTCTTTCATTTCCATTTTCTTTTATCACGTTAAAAGTAATTTTATATGCACTGATAATTCTATAGAAAAAGAGCATGGAATTTTTTTCTTAAAACTATATATATAGATTCTTTATGCACTCAAAAACCTATGCTAGTCTTAATAAAACGATGATAAATATATAAAGACTAAAATTAGATTTTTCTATTGAATATTGATTTTAGTTAAATAAATTTACCTTGATAGTCTATGTCTTAAAGTATCAAAATTTTGATTATCATCATCATTATCATTATTTGATTGTATTTTATTTTATTGTCGTTTTCTCTTTCTCATACGTCGTTTAAATATTCGTGTAACACTTGAATCTGATTCATTATAATCGGCATCATCATCATTCTCATCATCACTATTATTATTATTATTATTATTATTATTATTAATATTATTATTTTCTTGATAATTATGATCATATGATGATCTTCGACTTCGTTGATGTATACTATCCATACTACGTGAACGACGATGCATCATATGTTCACGTTCATTAATCATTTTTGTTATACTTAACAGTGTTCGACTCGGGTCGGGTCAGACCTCGGGTCGGATCAGGAAAAATTTTTTAACCTCGGGTCGGGTCAGGTCGGGTCAAATACGTATTTTTCAGAAACAAAAATCATGCTAATTTTTTGTTTGTTTATAAGTTCTGTGGTCTCACAACTAACAATTAGATATATAAAGCAGTATGTATAATATCATCTTTTGTGTTGTTTCATTATTTTCCATCCATTGATATCTTAAGAGCATTTATAGTAAGTATATAACAAGTAACGCTCGTCTGCAGACTTGCTCAGCTCTTTCTCGTAGAAGGACTGTTTTTAGATGTTAGTTTTTTAATACATTATTGCGTATATAAGTTTTTTTCTAATCTAGATTAGATACTTTTACATGAACAACAGCAGGTATTTATACGAAATGTTGGATAGAGGATTAGATATTTCAAATAAGTATCAATACAGATGGGAAGATTCATATAATTACATCAAACAAAAAA